AGCAACTCCAGGTGGTTCCTCTTTTTGGCGACATGCAAATCGAGTTGTCCAGGTACATCAAGACCAGCGCTCACTTCGAGGAGAACAAATCCAGGTGAGAGGAGGGCGCCCACATGTGGCCGTTTGGAAAAGCGACATTTGAGTGATTTCTAAACTGCCTCATCAGTAACCCCCCCATTGACCTCGTTTGTGTCTATGTAACCTGTTTTTTTTCTCCCTGTTCTGTTGTCTTTCCCTAACTGAGTTGCCTGTCCCTCCAGGTGGACGTGCACGTCCATCTCCAGCAGCCCTCAGTACAACATCTGTGAACAGATGATTCAGATCCGGGAGGATCACATGCGCTTCATCTCTGAGCTCGCCCGCTACAGCAACAGCGAGGTGGGTATGCAGTTCCGGAGATTTTCATTTGTCGGTGGGAATGGCTCAACCTGATTCCTTAGATTAATCATGCGGACAATAAACGTGTATTCATTGTACTCACCAAGAGGAGTAGACAGAAATGAGGGAGAGATTTTTATTTGATGGGCTTTTTCAGAGTGAATTTGTTTTTCAATCAGATGTCTTAAGTGTGTTTCCCATACGTACGGAAGCTGATGAAAATGAGCTGTAATGATCCGTAGGTGGTGACTGGCTCAGGGCGTCAGGAGGCCCAGAAGACTGATATGGAGTACCGGAAGCTTTTCGACTTGGCCCTGCAGGGCATGCAGCTCCTGTCGCAGTGGAGTGCTCACGTCATGGAAGTGGTGAGTTTAAAAAAAAAATAATAATAATAATAAAGTGGTAATTGGCATATTGGCATGTACAGTGAACGGCCATTTTTTTCCTGGGTCGATCTCGAACATATCACCCACGGTAGAGACCATGTAATATTTTGATAGTTAGTTTTACCCGCCCACACATGCTTTAAACGCAATTCAATTTTTTGGGAAGACTATTGTGTGACATCACTTTTTCGAAACGAAAAGAAAGCTCTCACTGGCATAGTTCTCCACAGCTCAACTTGCTCTTGTGCTGCAACAAACATTAAAAAATAGATTGAAAATCTGCACTTTGGCAGAGATGTGAACAGTGAACCGCTGTATGCCAGGGCTTCGCTGTCCTCATCGCTTGACAAAACTTTCCTCCTCAGTACTCCTGGAAACTGGTTCATCCCACGGACAAGTACTCCAACAAGGAATGCCCCGACAACGCCGAGGAATACGAGCGCGCCACCCGATACAACTACACCAGCGAGGAGAAGTTTGCCCTGGTGGAGGTGGGTCAATCATATTCGGCCTTTTTTCATTTCGCAATGACGTTGCGGGCGCTTCCAGGCGGCAGACGGTTCGGCGATCTCCAGTGGCACCATCAGTGAACAAAATCAAGACTGGTTGACAAAACGCCAAACCCAACGTTTTTGGCAGCGCTGACTCTTGTAACTGGAAGTACTCTGGCGCCCATAAAACTTTCGTACCGGGCGTTTGCAGGTGATCGCCATGATAAAGGGGCTGCAGGTGCTGATGGGCCGCATGGAGAGCGTGTTCAACCACGCCATCCGCCACACCATCTACTCAGCCCTGCAGGACTTCTCGCAGGTGACGCTGCGTGACCCGCTCCGCCAGGCCATCAAGAAGAAGAAGAACGTCATCCAGAGGTACACCCCAAGCTCTTAACGCGACAGTCTGGAATCAGGCCCACACTGAATCAGAATTGCAGATCAACTGCTAATAACAACTTTATTCAGTGTAAACTAACAAACACTGTGCTAACTGTATGTGCGATAGAACCGGCCATTACCGGTATCTGCAAAACACAAACAACACCCTGCGGTTTACTCACCCATCCAACAACTTAAACAGCTTCTTTGGATACGATTTTGGAATTGACACGCTGTATCCATCCGCTTATGAAATAGTTGTAATCCTCCAGTGATTTGTAAGCTTTCATCCGCCGTGTGTCACAGACCATGTCGTCGACACCGAGTAGTAAACAATCTCGGGATCACCGTGGAAAAGGTCTGACTTGGAAGCAGCATGGGTCAATTACTCCAAACAGAGAAACTTTTGTGCCGGTATCGCGGTTGTAGATCAGCCGCTAAGTCATCAAAAAGAAAAGAGTTTCCCCCCCATTGTGACCTAAAACCCGTACGTCTCAATTGAGAAAACTTTTCTAGAGGGGAAGCAAGAATAATCAAGTCAATAAAATAACGTGGTTGCCTCGAGTGCGCACACCCTCTTGTAACTTAGCATGCGGCCGTGTCAAGAGTGAACCGATCACATTTAAATTCTTGCCAATTGGGAGTTAGCAAACATGCAGCACCATTTGAAGTGCCACAGTAACCCCTAATAAACTTCAGCTGTTCTTGTTGGATTTTCATGACATTCTCTCTCCTACTCCTCCTCCTCCTCCTCCTTAGTGTCCTCCAGGCCATCCGGAAGACGGTGTGCGACTGGGAGACAGGCCGTGAGCCGCACAATGACCCGGCCCTCCGTGGGGAAAAGGACCCCAAGGGCGGATTCGACATCAAGGTGCCTCGACGAGCCGTGGGACCCTCCAGCACTCAGGTGACACCTCCCTGTCCACCCTTGTCGCTGATAAACTGGTCGTTTTGACCCTACCAGCAGTCTATCGAATTTTTCCTGGGGGGTTAGCAGTACACACTGGTGTGATCACCATTCCGCTTTCCTCCCCTTGAAGCTGTACATGGTGAGGACCATGCTCGAGTCCCTCATCGCCGACAAAAGCGGCTCCAAGAAGACGCTGCGTAGCGGTCTGGAGGGCCCCACCATCCTGGACATCGAGAGGTTTCACCGCGAGTCCTTCTTCTACACCCACCTGCTAAACTTCAGCGGTGAGCCTCCACATCACCCCCCCCCCCCCCCCCCCCCCCCCCCCGGGTCTCGATTTCACGTCGCACAACTTCTGTGGAGCGATTCCACCAAATGACACGGTTTGACTTTGTCCACTTCTCTGTAGACACCTTGCAGCACTGTTGCGACCTTTCCCAGCTGTGGTTCAGGGAGTTCTTCCTAGAGCTCACCATGGGACGCAGGATCCAGTTCCCCATTGAGATGTCCATGCCCTGGATCCTCACAGATCACATTTTAGAGACCAAGGAATCTTCCATGATGGAGTAAGCAAACCTCCCCCTTTTTCTTTTCTTTTTTTTAGGGAGGGGTGTAAAGCTCTTAGTCAGTTTCAAGATTTGTTAATTGACTTTTCCTTTGAGGGAACACATGACTTGATGCTAAAAGTCATTCTGTTTCAGATATGTGCTGTATCCTCTGGATTTGTACAACGACAGCGCCCACTATGCCCTGACCAAGTTCAAGAAGCAGTTCCTCTATGATGAAATAGAGGCCGAGGTGATCCGTTTCCCGTTGTGTCAATTTGTGGTTAACAAAAACAGGAAAGAGCTGTTAATTAATTCTCGTGGCCTTTCTTCATGTTGTTTTCTTTCAGGTGAACTTGTGCTTCGATCAGTTTGTCTACAAGCTGGCCGATCAGATATTCGCTTACTACAAGATCCTCGCTGGAAGGTAGCGAGCAGATTGAATCTTATTATATTGTTGATTAATATGTACAGTGAACCCTCTCAGAATTGAAGTTTAGCATTCAAATTGTTTACCACCTATGCTTTATTTATTTGATTTTATTTTTTTTTTGTGTGCTCAGGCCAAAGCTATTTTGACAATGAAAAGAGTGCTCTGAGCCATCTTGTGGCATCGAGAAGACAAAAATGAGAACCAGAGCTGCATTTAGTCTGGCCATAGCCTTATATAAGAGGGGAAATTAAACTCGCAAGCGTAGAAAGCACCACTGTTTTTGTTTGGGGTTTTTTTTTTTTTTTTTTTTTTTTTTGGTTTTTGATTGTTTTCCTTTCCAACACAATGCCAAAAAGTCACTCTTGATGCCAAAAACTTCACAGCAGTGTTCTGGCTGTGGTTTTCCCCTCCTCTTGTTTCTGACTGTGGTCCATTAATAACTGTCACTCCAAAACTGATTCCTTTCAGTCTGCTGCTGGACAAACGTTTGCGCGCTGACTGTAAGAACCAAGGCGCCAACATTCCCTGGCCGGCCTCCAATCGCTACGAGACCCTGCTGAAGCAGCGCCACGTACAGGTACCCTTTCTCTTGCATTCTTGCACTTTATAGATCCTGACGAACGAATCAGTGAAGGATATCTATCGAGCTCTCACTTTTTTCTCACCGTTTTCCATTCACGCTAGTAGCATTCACTCACTTTTCTTCCTCCTGAAAGTACACCGGTGCCTGTGATTCACAAACATGAGATCTTGAGCGCACTTTCCATCTAACTTAAATGTCGTCTTACCGCAGCTCCTCGGCCGCTCCATCGACTTGAACAGGCTTATCACTCAGAGGGTCTCGGCGGCGTTGTACAAGTCCCTGGAGCTGGCCATCAACCGCTTTGAGAGCGAGGACCTCACTTCAATCCTGGTAGGGAAATGCACACTCCTAAGAGATTTCAGCTCACATCGCCAACCAGGGTGACCTCATTTAAATTGTTTTCCATCATTCTGTCTATTTATCATGGTTGACAAAAATTCAACATTGAACCAACAATCAGTCAGATCCTGATCGTAATCTTGTCTCCTGAAGGAACTGGAAGGACTGCTGGAGATCAACCGCCTGACGCACAAGCTCCTCTGCAAGTTCTTGACGCTGGATAGCTTTGACGCCATGTTCCGCGAGGCCAACCACAACGTGTCGGCGCCGTACGGCCGCATCACGCTGCACGTCTTCTGGGAGCTCAACTATGACTTCTTGCCCAACTACTGCTACAACGGCTCCACCAACAGGTAGCGGGCGCGCCGGAGGGGGCACGCTGCCATCTTAGATCCGTCTGGACTAAGCTCTGACTTGCTGCGCTCAGGTTCGTGCGCACCGTCCTGCCTTTCTCTCAGGAGTTCCAGAGGGACAAACCGCCCAACGCTCAACCCCAGTATCTGTATGGATCCAAGGTCAGTGGCACCTGTAGTTAACACCCGTATATATGTATGAATTTGCCGGCATCAGAGCAGCTATACGTCGTAGACAAAGGATTCCCACCGCATTGGAGTAACAACCGGTCATGGCTCAGCTTCAGCCCTGAGCAACCGTGACGTCGTTTATGATCGACAGAAAGTGGCAAAGTGGCCGCCCCCTGAGATGGATCAAAACCGGTGGATTTTGCTGCTTAACTCATATTCCACAAATTCAATATTAATCGGAATGCCATACCCAGACGAGTGGGGGCACACACAACATATTTTTGTCAAGAACATTTTTGAATCGACTCACCTTTGAACAAAAAAGTCAGTGAACTCACCTTTTGGCATTTCCACAAAATAATAATTGTTAGGGCATCAAACCTGCCCTCCCATCCACTTCAACCCCACTTCACCTCACTTAACTAGGATTAACGGATTTATCTATGCCGATTAAAAATAAATAAATAAAAATAAGCAGTCAATTTGAAGTGGGTATGTTTTATTTCCCGACGCTTAGGATTCGATAATAATCCATAATACAGTACACCATAATTCTCTCTGGGCTGGACAATATGGCGATGACCTCAATCTAATTGCCTCAAGCTGGCTCGCTCCCAGAAAGCCGAGCCAGCGTCCTGAGCTCGTGGTGGCCGCGTTGGCTGCCGTTGTCGCAGCTTCCCCGCGGCGTGTATAGTCGCCCGGATGACGGGCGACCCGACCGGACCGCATTGGTCACCACCGAACATCCTTGTCTGCCGCCGCCCGCTCGACCCGCGCAGACGCCGTGCATGCACCCCCACAGCAGGACGCCGGCAATGACCAGCAGCAAAAGGCAGCAGGTCAGCCAGGCGCCCGTGGCCAGCTCCCAGCCGCCGCGATCCTGCCCCTCACCGCTGTCGCTCAGGGTGCCGAACACCTGACACTGGTCACGCACCGGGTTGGCAGCCTGGCACGTGACGCACAGTAAGTAGGTGGTCTGCGGGAGCAGGTTGGCCAGGTGGGCGGCGGTCTGGCTGACGGGGATGCGCTCCTCGTGCATGAAGCTCTTACGCTTGAAGGCCATGAGCAGGCTGTTCCAGTTGGGGCTGTACATGACGCTGTAGAAGGTGTCCAAGCAGCCGGCCGACGGGGGCCAGCTCACCCTGGCGGTGGTTGCAGAGACGTTATAGACTGCGATCGCCATGAGGGGAAAAAAAAAATGTTTCCTCATGTAATTCCAGCGTGCGGTGCTCACAGTGCAAAACACACCTGGAACAGAGAGGAGGGCAGTAGTCTGCAAAATGTCACACAAAGTTGCGCTTATAAAAAAATACTTTGGCTGGTCTCATATTAACCTTGCGATATGAGTTTAAGTTGACCATGCTTGGAACTCAAAACGGTTGTATATAAAATCATCTTTCCCTATTCAAATGAATGGAAATGCCATTAATCCGACCCAGCACTGCAAAAATATAGCAAAATGTGATAATAATAGTAATTAAGAATGTAACCATTTTTGGCACATTTTTTGCTTCAGTTAAATGGACATGCATAACAAGATGCATTGCACTAATGTACCGTAATGTGAATGTGGTAATTTCACTGTATGGTTGTTTGTTTTTCTGTATGCAGCTCTCCCTTGCTCTAAGGCCTCAGGGAGACGAAGCAAAATCTTAAATAAGTACCCCAAGAATAGCCCGCCACGCATCATTTTGCGATTAATTACTAATGTAAATCCCACATTGGGATTAGTTACGATGTAACAATGCCAGGATAATAAGCGGGGGATTGTCTGGAATAAACCCTGGTCATCGGTGGGATTATATTACGTAATCGTGCCCAATGATTTGCCAAGAGGTCATTGAGTCACGGCCAACCATTTGACTCTTTTTAGAATATCCCAATGATGAGATCAGCGCTTCTCAAGCCTTGTACATACAAAATAGCACTTCAAAAAATACTGCAAATACCAGTATGATGGTCACTATCAAGATATAGTTTTCATTCCTAAAATACATTTTTGTTATTGTAAACCACTGAAACATTATGCTCTAAAGTACAGTTCAGTTGTATTGAATGTGGAAAGTCACATAAAACTGAATTGGATGTAGGAAGTGATTATTTTGCATACCACTAGAGGGAGCACATGTACCACAAGTACGGTATCAGAATCTGTCCAAAAAAAAATTACATTCGATTTTCTACTTTATCAGAAAAGGGGATTTTTTCCGACTCGCACAAAGTCGACCTATTTGTCAACTCTAACCCATAGCGACAAAACAAGCACTTCCATGTCAAATATTAAATACGCAATTAATGTTTTGAGCAATAAATATCAGCAGAACATCTGGGACTTACCTCTCCGCGCTCTCCGATGATCCCGAGTCTCATCCCGTCACATCTCGGATGACGCTGTCAATGTGCAGTGCAGATCAGTGCATCCTTGTTTGAGCCGCCGCGGTCGGGTGTGTGCGTAGCCGCCAAAGTGCTGGGAGGAAAGAGAGGGGGCGGCGGGGGTGAGCTGGGGTTGAATATCCTGCAGTCGATGACTGAAAAAGAGAACAATGCCAATTTTCAAACATGAGAGAGAGGGAGAAGCAACCATCTGGTCCTAAAAAGCAAACAACTATAAGCTGATTGTCATGGAATATTTCAAGGATTCTAAAGAGGATCATTCCTAAAAGGATACTGATGTACATAGAAGGATTAATTTTTTAACAGAAATATTATTCCCCCCATAAAAAACTGCATAAACGGAAGTTCTGCTGCCATATCCATGATTTTTCTCCCTGTTAAGTTTTATTTTGAATCCACTCTTCACTTTCAGTGACAAATTTGCAAATGCCAAACTGCAAATATTCAGAGCTGAGAACCCATCCCAAATATATTAAGGTTATCAGTCCTCCAGAAATGTACTTCCCTCCAGCAGGTTCTTCTTTCAGCCCTAAAAAACAAACTGTGGTCAGTGCCAAAGAAGAGGTTGAAATGGAAAGACTGGCAGAGTCACAGAAAGGCATAGACATCTTTGCAAGTTTTCAATCACCAGCAAAGACCCTTATTAGAAATTTATTTGGACTAGTATGCTCGCTAATATTATTGATGTGCCTCATGTGAAGGTGGTTTGTTCATGTTGAACAATTCCACCCCTGAATACAGTCATTTATGCAACATGGGTTTGTGATTGGGTACGTGTTAGATGCATGGTGTTGATGCTTTATGGTCCTATCAATTTTAAGTGCGTTGACGCCATCTTGTAGCATGTATATGCAATTACAAACCTTATTTGCTGCTGGCCAGAGTTCACTTTTGCTTTTCCGCTTTCCGGTACCGCCCCTCCCTGACTGTATTTTCCCTCCATGTGGCGGCAGACGCTGAACTTGACATACAGCAGCATTTTCAGTTGCTATCGCAACTTTGTGGGCCCGCCGCACATCAAGGTCATGTGCCGGCTGTTGGGCTACCAGGGCATTGCAGTGGTGATGGAGGAGCTGCTCAAGGTGGTCAAGAGCTTGGTGAGTCGGACTCGGAGTCTGCCGATTGTGACATGAGGATGGTTGCGGGGGCGGTCTGCCTAACGAAGTGGCTGCTTGCCGGCCTTTGTACTGTAGCTCCAGGGCACCATCATGCAGTATGTAAAGACCCTGATGGAGGTGATGCCCAAGATCTGCCGGCTTCCCCGCCATGAGTACGGCTCGCCAGGTTTGTGTGTGCTCTCCTTTACATCCCAAAAAGAAGTTAAATCTGAATTCTCTTCTGCCAAGTATTGGAATCTACAGTATATGGGCCTTAAAAAAAAAAAAAAACATATCGGTCGGGCCCTCGAGAGAAGTTGTGTAATTTTCTGCTTTCTGATGCGTTTTATTACCCCGCCCCCTCCAGGAATCCTGGAGTTTTTCCACCACCAGCTGAAGGACATTGTGGAGTATGCTGAGCTCAAGACGGTTTGCTTCCAGAACCTGCGGGAGGTGGGCAACGCCCTCCTCTTCTGCCTACTCAGCGAGCAGAGTCTGGTACGGCCAAAGCCACTCCCTCTGAAACTACTTTTGCTTGTTGATGCTTAAAAATAGAGCTGCGGTGATCAAACATCTAGTTAACAAAAAAAAAGGCAGCAAAGCAAAATCTCAGCCTGGAAGCTTTGCAAGGATAATTTGTCCTCGCAAGACTGCTGCAGTCATCAGAAATAAGTTGGCACAGTGGCAGGAGGAAAAAGTCTGTAAAAGGCACGGCCAGCTAGCACTCTCAATTGCCGGCGCCCACGTCACTCACCGGCTCAGGCCCTGCCTTTTAAAGCCGTTCACAGTCACAGATGTAACAGTAAAACATGAGAATGGTGACCCCAAGTGGACAAAAATACCTGTGCATTACTGTATTTAATCAGGAAAATAATGGCCATTTAAAGCCCGTGGGGGAAAAAAAAAAGTAGGGGAATCGTGGGGTGAACACAAATGGCCAGTTTGAGCCCAGAGCATGAACACGTGTTGTTGATTTGTCTCGTGCTGTGGCGCAGTCGCAGGAGGAGGTTTGTGATCTGCTGCATGCGGCACCTTTCCAGAACATTCTGCCCAGAGTCCACATCAAAGGTAAACAGCCAACGCACAAACTCACATCTTGTTCATTTCCTGTCATGATCAAACAAAAAAAACAAATAACCCGAGTGGATAGAATTTATAATAAGTGAAAAGATGACAACGAAGTATGAATGAAATTAGGAGAACATCAACACAAATAAGAGATGGCAATCGAATTTCAATCAACTTCAAAAGATTCATAAGCATATCGTTAAATCTAATGATTAAGAAAAAAAAGAAACTACAACTGCAATTTCACAGATGCTGTACAAAAATGTAAATGTATGTTTGTGTGTGTGTTGACAGAGGGTGAGCGCCTGGATGCCAAGATGAAGCGTCTGGAGGCCAAATACACGGCGCTGCACATGGTTCCTCTCATCGAGCGTCTCGGCACGCCACAGGTACGTCGTTAGCACGCAGGCCACCTCATGTGTGTCGTCAGTCGACTTGCAACATTGGGAATGAACGGAATAAACCAGAAATTTACTGAATTGACAGCTGGCCCCTGATAGGAAGCCACAATTTTTGATACACTTTCAGGCCCGACCATGAATCGTGAAAGATTGGGCAAGGAGGAAAAAAAAAAAGGAAATATGTGGGGGATCGGGTAAAAAGAAAAGTGAAGGAGTGGAGGATGGGGGAGGAAACGTGGAGGATTGCATATGAAAAATATCTATTAAGTGTCTGATTAGCTTTTTTTTTAAATGCAAGGGGATCAAGTTTTTAAAATATGAATATGAAGGGAGAAAAAAGAATTATTGTGGGATTGATTTAAAAAAAAAAATCTGTGGGGGGAAAAAATGGAAAAATCTCCGGTTTAAAAAAAAAAGCTCGGGGTGGATAACAAAGACATAAATAAGTGAGCGATCGGGTAAAATAAAACGTCGATCAGTGGAACCTTCTGGAAATTGATGAAGTTGCGACCGCTGAACCGCAAATCTACATTTACAGTTAATCTTGTCGAAGTTTGATTTGAATTCATTTAACTTGCGTGCAACAAAATTAAATGCTCAACTGTTTTTGAGTTGGAATTTGGTGTGTGAAGTGAAGAACCACCGAATTTGTCATTTCCCCTCCGTCTGTAGCAAATTGCCATCGCTCGCGAGGGTGACCTGCTGACCAAGGAGCGACTGTGTTGCGGCCTGTCCATGTTTGAGGTGATCCTGGCGCGCGTGCGCGGCTTCCTGGACGACCCCATCTGGCGCGGCCCGCTGCCCAGCAACGGCGTCATGCACGTGGACGAGTGCGTGGAGTTCCATCGTCTGTGGAGCGCCATGCAGTTTGTCTACTGCATCCCCGTCGGCGCACACGAGTTCACCGTCGAGTAAGTACAGGGGCATTTTTTTTCTGCCGGGGAATTCTTGATTTAAACACCAAAATGTTCAGCCTAAGCGTTCACAAAAGGCCGCTAGCTTAATGCTAACGCATGTGCAAATGCGAAACGCCGGAGACGGGATAACAGAAACTGGCATCGATGTGACAGTCATTATAAACCTTCAAATAGTTGCGACTTTTTCACATGACGCAACAACACACACAAAGAAAGTGTAACATTTGCGAATTTAACATCAAAAACACCTTGGGCTAACAAAGTTAGCGTCGATGAAAAGTAAACGTGTATTTAAACTCAAAATTTCAAAATGTTCAGCCAAAACCCCTATTTAGCAAATGCTAACATACACTTTAAACACCATAGATAGGCTACTGAAAATTTGCATACATTTAAACAACAAATTGTTCAGTCAAACTACATAAAAGTCTGCTAGCTTAATGCTACTATATAATTCGAAACACCATAGCTGGGGTAATGTCGCACGCCCCCCCACTAGGTACCACCGCTTGCCTTCTTTGTGCACGTTTGCCACCTCTGACTTCATTCCAGTTGGGTGTGTACAATGATCCTCGTGCATTTTTTTTTTTTTTTTTTCAGGCAGTGCTTCGGCGATGGACTCCACTGGGCGGGCTGCTTGATCATCAGCCTGTTGGGCCAGCAGAGACGCTTTGACATCCTCGACTTCAGCTACCACCTGCTGAAAGTGCAGAAGCACGACGGCAAGGACGAGCTCATCAAGAGCGTAGTGAGTACTGTACCATACCGAGAGGCGGGGCACACTCTGGAGTGGTTGTTAGCACACTCAAATTTACACCTCAGGACAATTTAGAGTCTTAAGTGAAGTTCGTAAGAATGTTTGTTTTTGGAATGCTAGTTTTTCTCCAGGTCCTTGGACAAACACACAATGTAATGTTTTTCAAATTAAGTAAATCCAAAGGATTTTTTTTGAAAAACATTTACACAAATGCGACCAAACGATGATACCAGCAAATCAGAGTACCCACGTACACAGGAAAAACAAAAATTAAGGTTGACTGGTTAGTTGTGCTTCAAGAATGCGTAATTTTTAATTCATTTCCAAACGATGATACTGGATACCAGCAAATCAGGGTACCCACGTACACAGGGAAAAAAAATAAAATAAAGGTTGACTGGTTGGTTGTGCTTCAAGAATGCGTAATTTTTAATTCATTTCAAAAACAAAATGTTTATTTCTGGAAACACCAAAAGTTAATTTGAAATGGGTCTTTAAAAATATTTTTTTCTACTCCTACTTTGAAATCATTTTAAATGCAATCTTTTGTCATAGTTACCTAATGACAGTTTTTTTTTCCTTCTAATATGTATTGCAAAACGTACTCAGTTTTTGTAATTATTTAAAAAAAAAAAATGTATACAATGTAATTTTCTCACTTTTAAATGTGCTGGAATAATCTGAACGTTCCGAGCTCCTGTTTTCCCATGCCAGCTCACACTTTCTTTGGTCACAATGAACTTGTCTCTAGGCATCCATTGTGTGTCTATTTTTGTTTTCCCAGCCGCTGAAGAAAATGGTGGACCGCATCCGCAAGTTCCAAGTACTCAACAACGAGATCTTCGCCATCCTGAATAAGTACCTCAAGTCGAGCGACGGCGAGAACATGCCGGTGGAGCACGTGCGCTGCTTCCAGCCGCCCATCCACCAATCACTGGCCAGCAGCTGAGTGCAAAAATATTACAAATATTCCCTTTTTGGGGTCAGGGGACTCGGCTAGCAAAGACCATTGAGTTTTATTCCCACAATAAAATTTTTGTATTCACACGTGCCTTATCGGAGAAATAGATTGTTTTATACTTCTAGACTTTCTAAGAGATTAATATTTAAAAGATTTTGTGGTGTTGGTGGTGGTGATGAAGATGGAACATTAGAAGTGAGGTGAAGTTGTTTTGTTTTTCATATTTTGCATGCCAACGCATTTCCATTGACTGTGCCTTGACTTTTAATCATCCTTTTATTATTTCAATAAATATGTAACAAATCTGTTGGTTCATCCGCAGAGCTGCATTTTTTTTTCTTAAATTAAAATCAAAGTTACTTTCAAGTATCACGACAATTTGTAGTGACAGTGAAACCTGATCATGTTGAATATAAATATTTCCAGTGCACGAAAACAGAGTTT